TTATATCTTGGGCTGGCCTAAACTTTCTGTGGAGCCTATATTGGCCTTGAATTCTTGATTCTCCTTGGACAGCTTGCCCGTCATTTCATAGCTGTATCTATCTCCATATATCTCCATATCTATAAAAACACACCATGTGTGCGTGCTTGCTTGCTTACCTATTTAGGGTCTTACTGGTCCAGACTGGCCTGTAACACACTGCATAGCCAAGGATGACCTTGAATTCCTTGTCCTTCCTTTCTGGGCCAGCACTGTTGACTTTGTTTTGAGGCAGGGACTTATATAGGAGCCTGGTTGTCCTGGAAACCACAGTGTAGTTCCTGTAAGCCATAAACTCTTGATAGTCCTATCTCAGCTTCCAAAATGAAGGGATTACAGACATGTATTGTCATTCCTGGTTTACTAATATTTTCATTTTTCCTTAATAATTTTAATCCTTTTTTTTGTTTGTTTGTTTTCTGTTTTTCGGGGCAGAGTTTCTCTGTGTATCTCTGGAGCCTGTCCTGGAACTTACTTTGTAGACCATACTAGCCTTGAACTCACACAGATCCACCTGTCTCTACCCCCCGAGTGCTGGGATTAAAGGCGTGCATCCCTACTAACTGGCTAATAATTTTAATCTTTAAGTTTTTTTGTGTGTACTTGTGGGTGTCTTCTCTGTAGGTGTTCATGGAGACCAGAGGAAGCTATCTCTCCCTCTCTGCTTTACTGTTTTGACAGGGTCTCTCACTGAACCAAAGCATCAGTCATCAGCAAGGCTGGCTGTCTAGCCCGGGAGCTCCCAGAACTGCCAACTCTGCCTATGCTGGAATTACAGGCTTTTGTGGCTGGCTGACTTGTTTGCTAGCCCATGTGCTCAGCGCTCTCCTGCTCTCTTTCTGTCTTTCTCTTTCTCTCTGTCTTGTCTTCTTTGACAGGGTCATTATGTAGACCAGGCTGGCCTTGAACTCACAGAGTTCTACCTGCTTCTGCCTCCTGAGTGTTGGAATTAAGATGTGAGCCACCATGCCTAGTGTTTTGTATTTTTGAGATAGGGTCTTTCTATGTCTTCTATGCTTACCCAGAACTTGCGGGCAGATCAGCCTGGCCTTGAACTCACAGAGTTCTTTTCTGGCCTCTGCAGTGCCATCATGCCCCCCCTCACCTTTAAATGTGGGTGCTGGAGATTCCGACTCAAGCCCTCTGTAATCTTTTTTAACTTTTTAACATTATTTTTTATTTATGTGTATGTGTGTGAGTTTTTGTGTACCACATGAATGCAGGTGTGATTGAAATTCAGAAGAGGATGCTTGATCCCGTGGAACTGTCAATATAGGCAGTTGTGAGCCTCCTGATGGGGTGCCAGGAACTAAAACCAGGTCCTCTGGAAGAGCAGCAATTGCTCTAAACTGCTAAGCCTCTTCCCCGTCTAGAATCTTTACAAATTATGTTAACATTCTTGATTTTCTTCAAGTTATTTTAAGATTTGAGAGAGAGAGAGAGAGAGAGAGAGAGAGAGAGACAGAGAGAGAGAGAGTGTGTGTGTGTGTTGAGTCCAGGGGGTTAACTTTGGTTGTGATCCTCCATCACCCTCTCCGTTTTTTTGAGACAGCGTCTGTCATTAAACGTGGAGCTCACAGGTTTTGCTAGAGCCGCAGCGGCTGGCCAGCAGCCCCCAGGGCGATTGATGTTTCTGCTCCTCAGTACACACACAGCTTAGCAGCAGTGCCCAGCCTGTGTTACATGGGTCTGGGGATCTGAACTCAGACCATCACGGTTCCATGACAAGCGCTTTGTCAAGTGAGCCATCTCCCAAGCTCTCGAACTTTTTATTAGTAAAATATTAACTGTGAACAATAGGTTTCATTATAACATTTTCATCCATGTGTAATGTGTTTCCCTACTTACCCTCCGTTACTTTTCTGTTGTTCCTCTCCCTCTCCCACCAATCTACTCTAACTCCTGAGTGATCTCCTTCTACTTTCATATCTTTCAATTTTTCCTTCTGTGTATGTGACTGGTGAACTTTCTTAGGGTTGTTTACTGTTGTGAGCACCTTAATAGTTGTTAGACCCCTGAAGATAATGTCTCTTCACCCTAACATCTGCCTATAGGTCCTTGGCGCTTGCTTGGGGAAGAATCTTGCGAGCCTTCCTCATGACAGACCCAGGATGATTTGAGTTTAAGAGAGCAGTGGCCATGTCATGTCTAGGACAGTGTCCTCTAACAGTCCACTCCTTCCTTCTGTTCCACATCCTGGAACTCAGCCACCTGCCTCTGTCTTCTGAGTGTTCGTATTAAAAGTGTGCGCCCCGCCACCTGACCAGTTCTTAGATTGCGTTTGCTCCCTCTTTCATGACATTTTCTCAGCTTTGATGGTGATACAGATAGATGTCCATTATGGTCCTGGAGGGGGAGATGGATAGACGTCCATTATGGCTGAGCGTTCAGTTTATTCTTATCACTCATGGGTCTCTGCCATTACTACTGCCTATTGCAGTCGTTCCTGTTTATTTTTTTTAGATTTTTTTACTCTATGTGTTCCCTCATCCCCCACCCATTTTTGAGATGGAGTCTTACATGGCTCAGACTGTCTTTGAACTGTCTGTGTAGCTGGAGATCATTTTGAGCTCCTCCTGATCATTTTCTCTCCACCTTCCAAGTGCTGGAATTATAGGCATGCGCTACCATGCCTGAATTATTTCTTTGTTGGTTTGAGACGGGGTCTTGCTGTGTAACCCCAGTTGGCCTGGTCCTTGGTTTGTAGATCACGCTGCCTTCCGACTTGGCAGTCTCTTGTTTCAGCCTCTTGTGTATGGGGATTTTAGATGTGCGCTAGCACACATGGCTTAGTCTGTGCACTATATCCATGAATATACTCTTTCTTAGCCACCCCTTCCCCACAGGGGTTATGTAACCTTGGCTGCTCTAGAACTAGCTCTGTAGACCAGGCTGATGTTGAACTGACAGGGATTCCCCTCTCTCTGCCTTCAAGTGCTGGGATTAAAGGTATGTGCTACCAAGTGGCCCTTCCTTAATTTTTTAAAAAAATATTTTATATATGTGAGTGTTTTGCCTGAACACCACATGTCTGTATTGACCTGAGGAGGCCAGAAGAAGGCATCAGATCCTTTGGAATTGGAATTGCAGCCAGTTGTCAGCAGTTGTGAGCCACTGTGTGGTGCTGGGAATCTGACCCTGGTCCTGGAAGAGCAGCCAGTACTTTTAACCACTAAGCCATTTCTCCATCTTTCTTTCGTCCTTTTCTTTGGGGGTGGGGGGTGGGGAGCTGAGTAGGAAGGGAGGGAATTGAAACGGGTTTCATACTGTGAACTGACTGGCCTTGCAATTGAACAGTGATTCTCCTGCCTCAGCCTCCTGAGTTCTGGGATTGCAGACACGAGCTACCTAGCCATTCTTCATTTTCTTAGACTTTAATCATATGGTGCTGTACACCTCATTCTTAGCATTTTCTTTCCTTCCCCAACACCACCTTACTTTTGTTGGTTAGTGAAACTTTATAGGTTTATAGGCTTCGTTACAACCCCTCCCCTCATTTTAGCCTAGAGGCGGTTGTTGAAGATCAGCTCTATGACAGGACTTAGAGATGCGCAGGAGCCTGTCTAGGCCCAGGCTGTAATTCCAGCTGCGGAGGAGTCTGAGATAGGACTATTGCAAGTTCAAAGTCGGCTGTAACGATTCATGAAAATAAAAAGTATCAAGAAGGCCAGAAATACACTTAGTGGAGTGTTTTCCTAGCATATGTGAGACCCTAGGTTCATTCTACAGTTCTGAAAAAGAAAAAAGAAGGGGTGTGAGATATATAAGTAAACCTTGCTGCTGAAAAATCAAATAGAAGGGAATTTGAGACCAATGCAAGGTGCTCCACAAAAATATCCCCTTAAAAAAATCTAGAGCTGGGTGGTGTACCTAGCACTTTAATCCCGACACTTGAAGGCAGAGGCAGTTGGATCTCTGAGTTCGAGGACCACCCCCCCTCACATACACACACACACACACACACACACCCTGTGTCAAAAAACAACACAAAAGAAACAACAAAAAAGAAAACAGTTGAATAACTTCCTCCATGTTGGGGAGTAAACCTAATGTTGGGGCTTTGTGCATTTTTCCATTTCATTCAGCTCTGAATAAAAACATTTACAATTTTTAGTTAGTTGTATGTGTTTGGGCAGCTACCTGTATCATGTGCATGCAATGCAGTGTTCACAGAGGCCAGAGATGGTACTGGATCCTCTAGGAATAGACTGTTGTGAGCTGCCCTGTGGGTGCTGGAAATAGAGCTAGGACCTCTGAAGATCAACCATTGCTCTTAACCATTGAACCATCTCTTCTGCCGCTACATAAATTCTTTTTGGTGGGAGTCATATTTCTATTTAGAAATTTCAGACTTTATTTGTAACTGGAATAGTAATTTATACTGTTTGTTAAGTAATATTATGGAGTTATAGATTGCTTACTAATAATGCTAGCTCTTCAGAAATTTGATTTTTTTTATGTTTGGATATATTTTTCCAGTTCAACTTTTAGAGGGATATTATCTCACAGTTGTAAACAAAAAGTGATGAACTTCTCTTCCCAGTTAAATAATCCCTGTAAGATTAATGGGAAATGTATTTGAGGGATTTGTGGTTGCAAAAAAATATAATGTGTAGTTCAGTTAAATACAATCTTGGTGTCCATTTAAGAATATTGGCTGAGATTATTTTATTTTGCTGGTAATCACATGGTAGAGTCTTTTGTTCTCCTCTGTTGTGAGCTTTGGATCTTTATTAAGAATGATGTTTATAACTGGGCAGTGGTGGCACACGCCTTTAATCCCTACACTTGGGAGGCAGAGGCAGGCAGATCTCTCTGAGTTCGAGGTCTACAGAGTGAGTTCCAGGACAGCCAGAGCTACACACAGAGAAACCCTGTCTCGAAAAATCAAATAAGAGTGATGGTGTTTATAGTAGCGTCTGTGTTCTGTGTGTAACGTGCCGTGTATGTGCTGTAACCGTGGGTTTACTTTTACAGGACTTCTATAATTGGCCTGATGAGTCCTTTGATGAGATGGACAGTACACTTGCAGTTCAGCAGGTAACGACCTTCCTTACAGCACTCATAGCAAGTGCTTTATGTCTTTGCTGTGGTTCAATATTCCCAACTTATGTGGTCGGGGGCACAAACCAGATTCTACTGGGTTAATATGGACCGATCATTCATCATTGTAATCAAACCTCGTTTTATTTATATTATGAAATTTGAGTGTATAATGAATGAAAATTAAAGGAATGACGAATTAGAATAACTAAATAGAAATAAAATGCTAATTTGGTGACTAAACCTTTGATAACACGCCTTTGAGATTTATATCTTTTGATAATGATTTTAGTTCATAACTCTCACCCTCCAGTAGTGTGAAGACTGAGATGCTTTCCTTTGACTCGTTACTACTGTCACGTAACTCACTAGATTTAGCATTGATTCCCAAGGAGGGACTTCCATAGTGTGTGATGACATGTTAGGAGATTCGTACATTGTGTTGAGAATCCCTGGTGTATTATGTTAGGTTTACTCCTCCCCCAACCCCAATGGAAGAAATAGTTGTTCTTTTATATTGAATAGAGCCAGGAGTTTGGTGAAAAAAATATTTGTGGCTAATTGTTAAAGATCAAATTAAGGGGCTAATTGTTTTGTGGATGCCTGGCACAATCAGGACTCAAGCATGGAGTGGTAAGGGGTTCATGAGCATCCTACCCCTGACTTCAGTGTGACTGGTAATTGATGGCTTCTGGGGAAGAAAAGCGAGTTCTCTTCAAGGCTGTGGCTCCTGGTAGGTCAGCCATGAGCCAGTGAGTGGCCCCCACCCAGAAGTATATGGACAGCTCAAATTGGAGTTGATGAGCTATTAAATTAAAAAGAGACTGTGAAGTTGGGAATTTAAGGAGGTGGGTTGTACCTGGGAAGAGTTGGGGTGAATAAAATCAGGACATATTGTATGAAGTTCTCAGTTAAAAAAAAAAAAAAGCCAGGCGGTGGTGGTGCACACCTTTAATTCCAGCACTCGGGATTTCCTCTGGAAATGGGGTTACAGGCACTTGTCAGTCACCATGTGGGTGCTGGGACCTGAACCCATTCTTCTTCATGAGCGGCAAGTGCTCTTAGTCACTGAGCCTACTCCCCAGCGGGTCTGGAGTCGGGCACTGGGGCCCCTTTTTGAGATAGGCTCTCATATTTGCCAGATTGATGTCAAGCCAAGGATCCCCAATCCCCACCTCCTAGTTCTGGCCTTGGAGGTGTGCAGCAGCGCTGTGTCTGCTCTATGTGGGGCGGGGTTGGAACTCGGACAGAGCTTCGTGCGTGCATCTTGTGTTTGTCTCTTTGCTCTAGGTAATCCTTTCTTCCCTTTGAAGGGCCATTTGAACATTGTAGAGTTGTGCTTTAATTATATTTTGAGTGCATCTCTGTGATTTTTTTTTTGGTGATTGCAGAGGTTATGTTACATAGTCTTCTTAAGTAGCGTCAGTATTCTGTTGTTACAGTTGGAAGACTCTTTACACTTATGTCGTTCCTTTCCCTCACTATTTGTATTTCTTGTTGCCTTATATATCTATAGACATACACTGAAACCCAGTCAGACAATAATATTTTCTTTTGGTAGCACTGAAGATTGAATTTAAGACCTCACAGGTGCTAGGCATTTTCTTTATCATTGAACTATATATCCCTAGCTTAATTTAAAAAAAAATTGTAATTTTAATGTGCATCTACGGGGTCAGAGGACACATTTACATAGTTGCTTCTCCCGTTCTACCTTATTTTGGTTTCAGGAATTGAACTCAGGTTGTAGGTTTGTGAAGCAAGCACCTTTACTTGAGGAGCTATTTCACTGACACACTGTTTCTTTTTCTTTAGACTTGCTCAGACAGTCTGGCTTTAGCCTCCCAAGTGCTGGAGTTAGGGGCATGAGGCACCGTAGCTAACTTCACTGTTACTTTGATTTGGTTGAGAAATGATCTCACTGAGTAGCCTTGCTGTCCTGCAGCTTACTATGTAGATCAGGCTGGTCTCGAACTGGGGATCATCCTGCTCTGCTTTCCAGGTTCAGGATTAAAGGTCTTCACCACCCTGCCTTGAATTCCTGCTAATGTTTCAGATTTCCTTCTGTTTTTCTCTCTCTGAAGAACTTTTTAACAGTTTTTGTCTTAGCATACTCTGCTGTCTAGGGGTTCTCTTAAGGTTTCTTTTGCTTGCTTGTATTCCTTTTGGTGCTGGGAGAAATCTAGAACCTTGAACATACCAGCAAATAGTGTGATCTCAGCCTTTAGTTTTCTTTAGTTTGAAAATAGCTTTAGTCAGGGCTGGCGAGATGGCTCAGTGGTTAAGAGCGCTGACTGCTCCTCCAGAGACCCGGGTTCAGCTCACAGCTGTCTGTAACTGCAGTTCTAGAGAATCTGACATCGTTCAATGTGCATGAAATAAAGTTAAAAAAGATAAATAAAAGCAACACAGTTTTAAATAGGTGTACTAGTTGAAGATTTTAAAAAAAGAGAATAGCTTTAGTTGTTGAGGGTTATTGGTAGGTAGAGAACTCTGAGTTGGCAGTTCTCTTAGCACTTCTTTCATTTTTAAAATTACATGTATGGGGGCGATGTACACATGTGGAGGGCAGAGAGCAGCTTGAAGTTTGTTTGTTTTTTTTTTTTTTTTGGTCCTTTTCCATAATTTTTTTTTTTTTTTTTTTGGTTTTTCAAAACATGGTTTCTCTGTGGCTTTGGAGCCACTAGCTCTTGTAGACCAGGCTGGCCTTGAACTCACAGAGATCCACTTGCCTCTGCCTTCCGAGTGCTGGGATTAAAGGTGTGCGCCACCACTACCTGGCTTCCATAATTTTTCATGAGAAAGTAGTGGCTAATTAAATTCTATATGTCATGTGTCTTTTTTCCTTTAGTTTTTCTATCAGCATTACTAATAGAATCCAGAGTGTAGACAAATAACCTGTTTCAAGAAAAGGTGTATTCAGGTCGCGGTTCTGAAGGTCTTACTTTATTTTTTAATTTTTTTCTTGAGACAACTTTTCTCTGTATAATCCTGACTGTCCTGAAACTAGCTCTATAGACCAGGCTGGCCTCCAACTCACAGAGATCCACCGCCTCTGCCTCTTGTGTGCAGAGATCAAAGGCGTGCACCACTCTGCCTAGGGGTTCTGGAGGTTGAGTCTGAGATGGGAAGACCCTATTGTCCTGTGCCTCAGTGAAGGTGTTAGATGACAGACAGCTGTGATCACTGAGCCACCCAGGTTTTAGGGGACACTGTTCCTATTGAGACAGGAGGGATTTACCCCCATGTCTAAGGGGTGCTTTTTCCATTCCTAAGCCAGAACTGGAAATGGCCTCTTAGATCAGTGGTTCTCAGCCTCCTAATGCAGTGACGCCTTTGGTACAGTTCCTCACGTTGTGGCGACCACAATCATAAAACTTTCATAACTGAAATTTTGCTACTGGTATGAATCATAATGAAAATATTTGTGTTTTCCAGTCGTTCCAACCGACCCCTCTGAAAGGGTTATTCAGCTCCCAAAGGGGTGGTGACCCCAGGCTGAGAACTGTCTTAGACTGATTCAGTTTCGTATATTCACTGTGTCGGTGTTTGGGAAGGGGGTACTGGAAAGAGCCATGAGCAAGCTCACTGCAGTTCAGTGCAGAGACCTCAGACAGCAGAGCCAGGCCCAGCCTGTCTAGGTGATGCTTTCCTTCAATGGAGAGGAAGATTGGTATGTGTTCGTTCCATCGTCTCCAAAATTGGAAGTAATAAAATAATTTCATATGGAGTTATATTATGTACTTAATGGTCTCAAGTTATTTCTACAAACTGCTTTAGAAAAAGTCTCACAAAATTAGGTCATTAAAATTATAGCTCGAGGGTTAAATATAACAAGAAGATATTCTGCCTTTTAAAAAGCTCCATTGATTTCCTACCAAATTTGTCATTTATGTACTCTAAATTATTACCTAAGTACTATGTAAATAATCTATTCATTCTTAACCTAAAGTACTACTTCAATAAAAACTAAATACCCAAATTGCTACCTGAATAAAATTATTACCTAAATGACCTACTAGTTTTTTTGGAGCCTGTCCTGGAACAGCTCTTGTAGACCAGGCTGGTCTCAGACTCACAGAGATCCGCCTGCCTCTGCCTCCCGAGTGCTGGGATTAAAGGCGTGCACCACCGCTGCCTAGCTAGTCTTGCCTTTTTTTTTTTTTTGGAGACAAGGGTCTCACTGTAGTCCGGGCTGTTCTCAAACTTGACCACAGCTGAGGAGGATCTTGAGCTTCTGATCCTCTGACCCCACCTCCCAGGTACTGGGGTTCAGGTGTATACAGTTATGCCTAGCTGTGATGACTGTTTTTGTCTTGAAACTAAAAAAGTAGTGGTTTTATTGACTGAAGATAATTTTCTTATATTAATTATATAGTATTAATATAACAAACTTTAAGAATTAGTAACAAATGACTTTGTTTCTTACCAAGAATAATGGACGTTTGGGAGCATATTTAATGAGTACTCAATCCTGGGGTTGGAGACAAGGCTCAGAGGTTAGGAGAAGACGAGAGTGCAGCTCCCACAACCCACATCAGGTGGCTCAACCACCTGTGAGTCCGGTTCCGGGGACCCAGACCCCCTCCTCAGCCTCCTGGCACCGTCCTGACCATGGCCACTATTGCGGTGGTGAACACCATGTTGAAAGTGAACTGGCTTGTGTGTCTGTACTTGTGGCACGTCGGAAGGAGGGGTCAGGAGGGGCTCAGGTGTGGCGGGATGCTGCTTTCCTGTAGAACCCAGCACCACCTGCCCAGGAGTGGCTCCACCCACAGTGGGCTGGGCCCTCCCACATGAGCCACTGATTAAGAACTGTCCTACAAGTTTGCTGACAGCCCCGTCTTATGGAGGTGTTTTCTCAGTTGACGCTTCCTCTCTCTGGTGACTCTGGGTTGTGTCAAGTCTAGAGAAAACTAGCCAGAACACACTATATTATTCAAGGCTTTCCAAAGAACAGACCGATAGAATGACCATACATTTACACATAGATAGAATACACATACATTTACAAAGGGGTTATAGGATGGTTGGGGCTGTGGTCTAAGAATGGCCTCACACGTGCCAGCTTTTTACCTTCAGCCACGCACCCTCCTCACTTTCCTTTGACCCTTAGTTTATTTCCTGGGCAGCTTCAGTAGCCCTCCATTCCCAGTGTGGCTCCAGCTAGCACAGGAGGCCTGACTTCTAGTCTCTCTCAGCTCTCCTAAACTTAGCAATTTCTGGCTTCTGATTTAAAGGTGATGGATAGCTGACTCCTCTCTTATTGTCCCACTTTTAATACTGCTATGTTTTAGGGACCCGAGGAGAGGGAGAAATAAGGGAATGGCTGGTCAATAAAATATTCAGAACATAACATTTTTGAATTTTAGTTACCATCTTATATGAGCATAATTTATCATGCCTCCCCCAAAAATTAAAGTAGTAAACCGAAAGATCATTGATCACAGATCAGTACAACAGATGCAATAGTGAAAAGGTGTGGAATGAGACTATGAAAACAGAATGCAGGGGTAAGATGTATGTAATACTGCTGGGGAAAGAGGACAACACATTGTGCAGGCTAGCCACATTCACTTGTTAGAATAGCCCCAGCAATAAACCCCCAGGACTGGACTGAAAAGTGCAGTCATGTAAGGTATAATAAAAATGAGCTATTAACAGACTGAGCATGTTGTGTGTATATAACAATTAATGAAAAAAGAGGCCATGAAATTGAAAGAGCAAGGAGGGGCACATGGGAGGGCTTGGAGGGTGAAAAGGAAAGGGGGAAATGATATAATATTTTAAGAAATGAGTATATGTTAGCGGAGGAAGTGATTTGGACAGAATTGTTATGTGGAATTTGAGGTGGTTCAGGATTAGTTGCATTTACTTGAGGACATCGAAACATAAGATTGTTACAAGGAGAAGAGAAAGACATCTGAGAACATTCTAGACATCTTGTGCCTCTATTAGAGTCTCTGGGGATACTCAGGTGGAAGGCTGACTTGATGCCAGATGAGTTGAGCATCATAGTGAGAACCCATTCCCTTCTCCAAAACTCCATAGTACAAGAGGCTTAAGTAGGAATTCAAGTCCAGTGTTTTGGCACATGCCTTTAATTTCATCACTAAGAAGGCCAAGAATTGATGCTTGAGCTAGTCTTGGTGGTGCACGTCTTTAATTCCAGCACTCAGAAGGCAGAGGTAGACTGAACTCTGTGAGTTAGAGGCTAGGACGGTCAGAGCTATGTAATTTCAGAAAACAAAAATATTAAACATATTTAGCATGAAGCTTAGCATCCAGCAAAATTTAATTAACCATAAGACTCCTTTCTTTATAGTATATTCAACAGAATATAAGGGCAGACTGCTCCAACATTGACAAAATTCTTGAACCGCCTGAAGGCCAAGATGAAGGTGTGTGGAAGTATGAACATTTAAGGTAGGTCTCAAGATCTCAGGATGTGCTAAACAGTTCAAGTCCCTCCTAATGATAAGTATGAGTCAAGTTAAAGTTGGGTAAATCACAGTGCCGAGTTTTATAGCTTTGGGTCTTGGTTATTTTGAGAAAAGGTCTCATGTAGGCTCAGGCCTTGAATTCCTGACCCAACTGTCTCCGCTCCTACATGCTGGGACTGAAGACAATGTTCGCACAGCTAGCATTGTCTCCAGCTCAGTCCTCCTGCCTCAGCCTCCTGAGTCCTAGAATAGCAGGTATGCAGTTGATTAGAGAATACTGTTTGGGGGGCTGGAGAGAGGGCTCAGAGGTTAATAGAGCACTGACTGCTCTTCCAGAGGCTCTGAGTTCAATTCCCAGCAACCACATGGCAGTTCACAGCCATCTGTAATGAGATCTGGTGCCTCTTCTGGCCTGCAGGCATACATGGAGGCAAAATGTTGTGTACATAATAAATAAATAAATCTTTAAAAATATATTCTGCTCCAACTTAGTTATAAGTTGATTTAAATCTCCTGACAGCTCATACTGAATCTTTGTGATTAGGAAACAGGGCCACTTTAAAAGGTTGTAATCTTATGGCAGGATGTGTGGGTTTCAGCTCTGAGTTGTCTTTTCCCCATGTAGCTAGCTGTACCGGGCTTACCAGCTCTCAGATCATAGCATGGAGACTTCCTGTTAGTTATGAGTGCTTGGCCGTAGCTTATGCTCGTGTCCTGCTAGCTCTTAACAACTTAGCCTGTTTCTCTGTATTCATGTTTCTTTTTACTTTTCTTTCCTTCTGTGTGACCTACTCCCTTCAGCAGGCTGGCAGCTGCATGGCTGGCCCTGGGTGTTTCTTTCTCCCTTGTTCTCATTCTCTCTCCCCCCAGATTTCTCCTCCTACCTTCTCTCTGCCCAACACCCCCACTTATCCTTCTGCTTAGCTGTTGACCAGGGTGCCTTAGGCAGGCAAGGTGAAACAAATGCAACACATCTTTACATAGTTAACAAATGCCATCTCTGCACCCTTAACAAAGGCAGCAGAAACAAATGTAGCACACCTTCCCCAGCAAAACAAATGCAACACATCTTTGCCCAGTTAAAGAAAATATTCCACGGGCTGGAGTAAAAGCACTGACTGCTCTTCCAGAGGACTCGGGTTCAATTCCCGGTACCCCCATGGCAGCTCACAGCTGTCTGAAAATACAATTCCATGAGATCTGACATCTTCACACCAATGCACATAAAAGAAAATTAAATAAATCATTTTAAAAAAGCCCTGTCTCTCAGAAGGAACCTTAAAAAAAAAGAAAAGCTATTGCTTACCATTGCCAGCCTTTGTTACTGTGGAGGCAGCAGTCACTCAGAACTGCATAGAGTAGTCTACTGACATGGAGTAGTGGGGGGACGGGTGATTCAGAAGTGGCGCCATCTAGTGTGGTATACTCTCTGTCGTACATTCCCTTAGTAGTCCAACACAGTGTTACCCAGCGTTTGAGAAGGAAGTATAATCATAGAAAAATGAAAATTTAGGCTTTGCTTTCTGTTTTCTTCCATTAAAATATACTAAACAGGCTTAATGTGATGGCAAAGCCAGATCTCTGTGAGTTTGAGGCCAATCTGCCTCCATATGCACTTGCCTCAACTGCTGACCGTATGCTGTCCTAATGGGACAAGCAGGACACAAAAAGCAGTGGCTGTTAAATCTTAGCAAGACAAGGCAGGACAGTCCTTCATAGAGAAGCCTGTCAAGTATTCAGGCCCTTAGGCTGAAGATGGATGCCCCAACGTTGCAGGCAGCCAGCTCTTTCTGTCATTTTCACATTTTTTTGGAAGCTGCTTGCTTGCACTTCCTGCTTACTTAGTTAATATTATTTCCTTCTTAGGTCTCTGAGGGAGTTGAAGACTAGATAGTTATAGTTTTCTGTTGGGGACCAGCCCCAACAAAAACACTTCTCACCAGCATAGAGGAGTGGGAAAAATAAAGTCAATTCATAAGATAGTAATGGGAGGGAGTTTCAGGGATTATTTAGATCCCCAAATCACCCACGTTTATTTTTCAACAGCTTTTATATCAAGGTAAACTGGGGGAACAGGTGACAAAGCACTTCATTAACATTCTGCTGCCTAGGTAGCTGGAATGACTCAAGTCACATTTTACTCAAGCCCACTTCCTTCCCAGGTGACCTCATAGTTACAGTGGAAGGAGCAGAGTACATTAGCATAGCCTGACCACCTCAGGATGGCGCTGAGTTTGCTGTACTCAGAAGAGCCAGGTGACCACTCCTGTGAGGAAGGAGCAAATTGAGCTTGTTAGTCTCTCAGATTCTCTGACGGCCAGACAGTGTGGAAATGGGCCTTCATTTCTCGGCCCCTACAGTCTTCCTTTGTTTGAGACTCAGAAAAGAAATTCACTAAAGAAATGTAAAGTATATGTATAAGATTGAGAGATATCAAAAGATAGTAATGCAAGTTATGATTGAAAGTAAATTAGGTACAAGACTTTGGACTCACCAAGATAGGATAGATAATGGAATTCTCTGAATTTGTCAAATGCTAATGAACCAGACACTGTTGATGTATTTATTGTCTGTATATATTGTATATAGTTATTATATTTATTGTATATCGTTTTTATAATATTAGTTATAACCTTTTTTTATTTTAGACAAAAGGGAGAAATATAGCGATATTTTATTTGTGATTTAATAAATAAAGCAGCTGCCTCCTGAGTGCTGAGGTTAAAGGTGTGTGCCACCACAACTGGATTTTTAGAGTGAAACCATTCAATATTTTAACAGCTATAAAATATACTTATTGTAAAGTGTTGTCTTATATCATGTGTCTGTCTAAAACTGTACGGCAGTCCTTAAAATTTTCTTTATTTTTACTTTGTTAAAAAGTATTTAGAGGGCTGGAATGATGGCTCCGCGGTTAAGAGCACTGACTGCTCTTCCAGAGGTCCTGAGTTCAGTTCCCAGCACCCTCATGGCGGCTCACAGCTGTCTGTAACTCCTGTACCAGGGGATCTGACAACTTCACACCAATACACATAAAATAAAGTTAAATAAATCATAATAAATTATTTTAAAAAAATATTTAGAATTGGGCGTGATTGGCCCAATTGTTGGTCCCAGAACTTGGGAAATGTAGACAGGAGATCAGGAACTTGGCTAAATACTGAGTCTAACGGCCATATGAGACTCATAGCCCAAAAAACGGTTTTTTGTTTTTTGTCTTTTGCTTTTTTTTTTCTTCAGAAAGAGTATATTTACTGAATTTTAGGCATTGTATAGGCCTTATAATTTTTAGTATTAGAAAAAATATGGAAAAGATACCAAATTCTAAGAAAAGTTAGGAAATTACATGGACTGTGATCCCAATATATTTTAATTTATTCCTGTAAATAGTATCTTTTTGGAGAAGGTAAGGTAGTGAAATAGAGGATTTAAATGTTGTACACAGTATCAGATAGCTCCTGAAGCTTTTCTGTTCCTTTTCTTCTGGTTGTCCTGGGAGTTGAGCCAGGGCCTTGCACACGCTAGTCACACTGGTGCTCAGACCTCAGCCCCGCTTCCCTGTTGTCGGTGCCACGGAGTTGTTTGTTTTGTGTGCCGTGGTGGTTGGGTGGTGTGTGTTCATGGATATAGACAGGTTTGCATGTGTGTTATATTCGTGTGTGTGTGCCTGTTTGCATGTATATGTGGGTTTGAGTTTGGGTGTGCATATCCATGTAGAGACCTAATGTTGGTATCAAGAATCTTCCTTGATTTAACTCCCCTTACTTATTGAGGCAGAGTCTCTCATTTGACCCTTGCTCAGGAGATCCCCCCTCCACCTTTTGAGTGCTAGAATTGCCCAGGGCCACCATGCCCACCAGGCATTCACATGCCCACCTGGCGTTCACATGGGTTTTGGGGTTGCAGCTCAGGTTTTCAGACATCATAACAGCCACTGTGCTCTCCCAGTCTTCTCAGTCCTGATTTGTTCTGCCCCTTCTTCTTGAGGAGATGGTTTAGGGACTTGGTTTCTGTCAATGTAACCCTGACTGTTCTGGAACTCACTAAAGGCTAGTCTTCTTCTGCCTGAGTGCTGGGAGTTAGAAACTTGATTGACCAGGACCACTTATTTTTTAAAGTTATTTTATTTTTTTAAATGTGTATGAGTGTTTGCCTTCATGTGTGAATGTGATCTGTTCGCCAGAGTGGTGTCCTGGACATGGAGATAGAGGGGTTGTGAGCTCCTTGGTGTGGGTGCTGGGACTGAACTCTCCGCTGCAAGAGCAGCAGCTCCGAATTTTACTGCTGAGCCAATTAGACTGGAGTTCATTTCCCACACGCAGGTCAGGTGACTCACACCACTTACACTTCAGCTCCAGGTGACCTGACACCCAGTGTCAGGTGTGTGCATGCTCATAAATCAGAAGAAGGAGCTTTTCTTTTTAAACAAGTACTTAGGACAGAAATTGTGGGATAGCTGGATATTGAGGTTCCTGCTTGTTATCCCAGCACTTGGGAGATTGATGTAACTACAGAGCAAAACTTTGTGTTAAGAAGCAAAACAAAGGACTGGAGAGTGGGCCCAGTGGTTAAGAGCTCTGACTGCTCTTCTAGGGGATCCAGGTTTGATTCCTAGCACCCACATGACAGCTCACAACCATCTGTAACTCCAGTTCAGGGGATCTGACACCCTTACACAGACAAACATGCAGGCAGAACACCAATGCACATAAAATAGAAATAACTAAATCGGGGGCTGGAGAGATGGCTCAGCAGTTAATAGCACTGGTTATTCTTCCAGAGGTTCTGAGTTCAATTCCCAGTAAGCGTCTGGTGACTCACAACCATCTGTAGTGGGATCTGATGCCCTCTTCTGGCATAAAGTTGTACATGCAGACTGAACACTCATTTATAAAGAATAAATAAATTTTTAAAAATAAATAAATCACTAAAAAAGAAAAACAAGACAAAACAAGGAAACTATGGGAGTTTAAAAATTTGTTTTTTGAGACTTTTTCTGTGTAGCCCAGGCTATCTTGGAACTCACTGTAGAGATTATGGTGGCCTCAAACTCAGAAGTCCTCCTGCCTCTGCCTTCCAAGGACTGAGATTAAAGGCGTGGACCATCATGTCTTGCTAAATTTAAAAATTCTAGTCTAAGCTAGGGGTGCAGGGGTAGGGTGTGAGGGGGGTTGGAGGGGTAGGGGGATGGTGCATACCTTTTATTTCAGCACTCTTGAGTTTGGGGCCAGCCTGGTCTATAGATTGAGTGCCAGGACAACACAGGAAATGTTGTCTCTGAAAAAGCACCCCAAACTTTAGTCTGCAAAAAAGCTTAGTTCTTTCTTTGTTTAGAACTGTATGTAAAAATAAACACATAATTTTATATAAGTGAAGCTTCTTTCATCATAGGTCTTAACTACTTAATACCCTTCAGTTGCCAATCATAATCAGAAGTTTTCTCCTATGAATACATGGTTAATGTAAGCATCTTTGTAACAGAACTGTACGTAGTTCTGACAATAGCATTACAATAAAGTATCCAGTAAGTAATGCTTTCCTAGAGTCTTGGTGAAATTTCTAAGCTACTTTCAAGAAAAATTTAAAAATTTCCTAGTGTATAAGAGGTAACCAGCTTGGTAGCCTTATGAAGTAAAACAAGAAAATAAACAGAGCCTGGATAATAAATGTGATTTTTGCACTTTTAGGCAATTCTGCCTTGAGCTAAATGGACTTGCTGTCAAACTTCAGGTAATTTTTTTGTTGTTAAAACTATAGTTCAAAGTTCTGATTTTTAAAAGTAATTTTGTATGCTTAGATTTACCCAAAGTTTCTAATTAATTTCTTTTTACTTTTTTTTATAGAAAGGTAATCCAAATGACAATTTTTCATTATCATTCTACATATTAAAAATATAATTATTTTTAACAGAGTGAATGCCATCCAGATACGTGTACTCAAATGACAGCAACTGAACAGTGGATTTTCCTTTGTGCAGCTCATAAAACTCCAAAGGAGGTGAGAATGGGGCGGTTTCAGTGCCTGGTTACCTGATACCATCACTCTGGGCATGGGGTGAAGCCCAACATCTCAGAAGGGAGCATTTGGTGAAGCAAGTCTGCTTACAGGGTACCTGAGGACAGAGGGTCAGGGCCAGGTGCCCAGTGTTCCCTTCAGGGACACCACCCCAGAACCTACTTCCAGAGTCTCTACCACTCCCCTGAGAGACTCTGAGAACCACCCCTTCAACAGATGAGCCTCTGGGGACATTCCATATCCTATTTGAGCAGAAACATTGTGGAACAGTGGACATAGTTGTATAATGGTACTGTTTAATATGTGTGAGTGTGATGCTTTTCTATGCACGTCCGTGTGCAGGTATATACCACGTGTCTGTGGAGACCAGAGGAGGCTATCACCCTAACTCCCTCCCACAAGGCAGGCAGGGTCTTGAACCTGGAGCTAGGCTGGCAACCATTCCCCCACTGGGAAGTCAGCTAAGTCTGCCCCATCCCCTCGTCCCCTTGTTGGCCTGCTCTCCCTCCCTCCCATAGTCCGCTCACCATAGTGCAGTGAACCTCCGAACTCTTTTGTGTCGCTTACAGTGGTGAGAGACACTAGTAAATATGTGCGTGTAAAAGAGAGGCCTGTCTGTCAATGCATTTCACATTTTTCTCTTTTCTAGTGTCCTGCTATAGATTACACAAGACACACACTGGATGGTGCTGCGTGTCTTCTGAATAGCAATAAATATTTCCCCAGCAGGTAAACAAACCCGTTAAACATGGTATGCAGCTTTTTGAGTTTTATTTAAAACACTGGTGTTTAAAAATAATGTCCTGGGCTTTTTTTTTTTTTTTTTTTTTTTTTGAGGTGGGGAGGGGGTTCCCTGTAGCTTTGGAGCTTTGGTGCTTGTCCTGGAACTAGCTCTTGTAGACCAGGCTGACTTCAAACTCAGAGAGATCCGTCTGTCTCTGCCTTCTGAGTGCAGGGATTAAAGGAGTACGCCACCACACCTGACTTAATTTTTTTTATAAATGGTTAGTTGACTTGTTCAGATTATTTGAGTTTCGGAAACATTGGAACTTGTTTTCGAAAGCCCAGAGAGGAGTTAGTGCTGGTCCCTGCTGCTGTGCGCTGTGCCTTCTCTAGGCCTCTTCTCACCAGCCGCTAGAGTCAGCCTCCTTAGATAAATAAATAGTGACTTGATTAAGGGAGGCTGCTTGTTTGTGCTTATTTTTTGCCGTAGCAGTTTTAAGCAAAATTTTAACATCTATTTAATTGCACATAATAATGGACATATTATAACATACATGTATAGCATGCATTTTATTTTTTGGTTTTTCGAAACAGGGTTTCTCTGTAATAGTCTTGATTGTCTTGGAACTTGCTTTGTAAACCAAACTGGCCTTGAACTCACTGAGATCCTCCTGCCTCTGCGTCCCAAGTGCTGGGATTAAAGGTGTGCACCCCCCACTGCCCACCCGGCTGCATGCATTTTGTCCTACACGTGGCGTGTTTTGATAGTGTTTGCTCCATACCCTCGTAGCTCACTCATCCCTTGCCTTTTCCCAAGCACCTCCCTTCTGCCTTCCTTGCTTTCTTCCTTTCCCTCTGTTCTCTCTCCTCATCCCCTCTCTCCCTCCCTCCCTCTCTCCATTGCCCCTCCCCCACCCCTTATGTGTTGTTGTCCCCCAGTGAGTTTCATTAGGTACATGGATGAGTTTGCTTACAAGAGTGTGTGTGCTTTACCTCAGTATGTTTTCCACCCACGTCAGTAGCTAACAGAATGTGTGCATTCTCAGGGCGGAGTGGGGCTTCCCTGTTCCATGGCAGGTTGAGGCGTCCGCTCATATGGATAATCAAGAGTACATCACCTCCGTCATGCCTGGAAGTCAGGGGTCTAACTTCTCCCTCCTCAGCACTCCCTGAGCTTGGAATGGGGTGATGGATGCCCATTCAGGGCTGAGCACTCAGGAGTCCTGACCCCTACAGTATCAGCAGTTAGGCAGCAGCTTGGCAGGCTTATCCTGTTATGTCAGTAGGATTTTCCGAGGTCTTGGGGAAGACTGTGCATGCATATTGTATTACTGGGGAGGTTTTTGAGTTCTCCCCTCCTCTCCTTTTAAAGTTGAAAATGGATTTTTTTCTCCTATGGTTTATGAGTTTTAAAAAGATAATTTATTGTTTTTTGAGACTGAGTCCCACTTTGTAGCCTTGCATGACTCTGTAGATCAGGCTGACATTGAACTCAAAGATCCAGCTGCCTCAACCACAGCCAGTGTGACTGGTATCTCCAGACAGGGTCTGTGTGGCCCGTGCTAGCCTTGAGTTCATCATCGAGCCCAAGCTGGTTTTGTTCTTTTATTCTGTTAAAGAATTGGGAATTTTTACAACGTAGATGGAACTAGAGTTTTTCCCTCCAAAATTAGCTGCAAAATCCTCATCTAAGATCTGGGTGTAAAAAACACAGATGACATCTGATTTTCTCTCGATATCTTGTACTCTAAAAGAGAATTAGGATTCTCTTTTAGAAATTGATCTTCAAAAATACAAAGGAAGTAAAAGCAGGCTCTGTAGAATAAAATAATGTGGTTTCAGTCATCTGTATTAGACAAAGTACTGCTAGTGTTAAATAGTGTTTAAAGTTTTTTTTTAAGTAAGTTTTAAGGTGTCAGGGTGTAAGTACATTATTGTTTAACAAAGTTTCAGAAGTACAATACTGCCTTTAACTAAGGTGCTGGGGCTGAGCAGCGAGGGCTGGTCCGGGATCGAGGAGAGGCTGTGCGTGAGCGCTGCGCCCTGGGAACTGAGGAGATTGGGCTGTGTACATTTCTGACTCTGGGTTCTCTCCTCTTTCAGGGTTAGCATAAAAGAGTCGTCTGTAGCCAAACTAGGATCAGTGTGCCGTAGGATCTATAGAATATTCTCACACGCCTATTTTCACCACCGGCAGATATTTGATGAATATGAAGTAAGTATCTGTCGTCGCTGTGCGCTGCATGACAGCAGCGGCCTGAGTAGGGAAAGGGTTAGTTCTGCGGCTGACTCTTGGGTTGCTCTCCGTCCCTCACTGCGAGGACGGGGCAGGAGCTGGGGCAGAGGCCACAGAGCAGCACTGCCTGTTAATAGGCTTGCGCGGCCTGCTTCCTTTTGTCTTCTGTTATTTCTTTTGGTGTGAGACAGGGTCTCACGGTGTTTCTCTGGCTGGCCTGGAACTCAGAGATCCGCCAGATCCGCCTGCCTGCTAGGAGTAGAGAAGCGAGTCACCACCTTTTTTGAGATTCTATAACCTTGACTGACCTGGAACTCAAGATGGGCTTGAATTCTTAGAAATCTTCTTGATTGACCCTCCCAAGTGCTGGGATTAAAGATTCAGCCTGCTTGCTTATATATGTCTGCCCAAGGCTGGCACTGTGCACAGGAATCAGAAATCCGTGCTCCCTAGGCCTGCCTGTCGGCCAGTCTGGTAGGGCATTTTCTCAATGGAGGTTCCCTCTTCCAAGATGACCTAGCTTTTGTCAAGTTGACAGAAAACTAACCACAGTATGTCAGTAATTATCTTAGTACAGTCTTGTCAGGTGACAGCAGTGTGTGTTGGTACTGTTTCTAGCCTTCTAATTTTTGGATAGCAAAATTACTGTTTTTCTTTTTCTTTCTACAGAATGAAACATTTTTATGTCATCGGTTTACTAAATTTGTGATGAAATATAATTTGATGTCGAAGGATAACCTGATTGTACCAATTTTAGAAGAAGAAGTTCAGAATTCAGTTTCTGGAGAGAGTGAAGCCTGAGAGGAATCGTGTAGAACAGTGTACTGATCACATAATTAACAATTATGTACTGTATATATATCATGTTAGACACATCAATCATGGATCCATATTATAGCTTTTCTGTTTAGTAGAGGTTTTTGTATGCTATGTGTTGCCTTTTAAAATGGGAAATACATTTTAAGTTATTCATGAGCTGTATATTCACTGGTGTGGACTCATGGTTTTTAAATAAGTTTAGTATTATCTGTTTATAATGCCTGTTAATAAAAAGAATTTACAGTTTGGTAAAAGTGCTGCTAAACAATCATTGGATCACAATCCTTTCAAATCTACAAGAGTGAGCTTGGGTTTCACACAAACCATTTACTAAAGAGATAATATTTTCTTTAGTTTTACCCCCAAAGTTTTGATATTTTAGAAAATTCAGTAGTATTCCACCTGTACTGTTAACTTTTCCAAGATGAGATGAAAGTGTTTAAAAAGTCTGTTTGTAGTTTTTAATATGCATAACCAATTATGTATATGTTCAGAGAAATACAAGGAGGTTAGTAATACTTAATAACCTCACTCTGCTACATAAAGTATATTCTAGGTCAGTGTACTTGGAAACACGATCTCTTTTGTGACTGGATTATTAAATACCTGGTGATGCTGATAAGGCACAACCATGATGCTCCGTGGACACCTGCCCTTGTTTCCTTAGCCCTCTCCCCGAGCTACAGTGGTCAGGAACGCGTTTGCCAAGCTACGGTTAGTGGTGGCTTCTCCTCCTTGTATCGCATTAACTGCTTCCAGAGCGTACCTCATCTAGCAGTGACGGCACACTACAGGAACTGCGCTGCACAGGCTCCTGCCTGCCTTTGCGGGGGGGAAATTGTAGCTACTTAGAAAATAATCCTTACCCTAGTTTGGTTCTTTCTGTTAGTGATACTAATCTTTTCATTTAACTCTAGGCAGCATTAAATACATATGGAAAAGATAGTGTATTTATTTTATAATCTCTCCCAGAAGCGTATTGTTTGGATTATATGCACATATAAGAATATTTACAGTAACTCCAGGTTCCAGTGGTGTGGATGAATGGTCATGCTTTTTTTTTTTTTTTAATTTCTTCAGTCTTAAAAATTTAAGTGCGAATTTAGAACGTATTTAGTGAAGTGCTCACTGTAACGAGGCAGTAAGCTGGGACAGGACTGTGCCTGCGGCTGGCACAGCCGAAGCCAGGCATCGCTACCGATCGAACAAACGCGAGGAACTTCTTTTTATTTAAGAGTTATTTTCAAATGAAATTGAAAAATGTGTTCATCTTGTTTTTCTGATTATTTGAAGAAATGATGTATATTATGAGACAAGTGTGCACAGAGAAGTGTGGGAAATGACAGCAGACCGAGGGTGTGTGTCTAGTGGACGCCTGTGGTCAGGTCAGCGCCACACTGCAGCCCACAGCTGTCTTCCAGGAAGTTTTGTGTTCACAGTGAAGAGAACAGTGGCTGAGATTAGGTGTTTATATTACTGTTACCATAACCACTGGGGTTAGTCATTTTTAAATAAGCTTGGTAAATATGAGTGAGCCTAACCTACGTTCATAAATTATACTTAGCAATGTTGCTGTTCTCTGGTTGGGGTCTCAGTGGGTTTCTGTCGCTTGACTGTTTCTCAGTGAACATTTAAGGTAGTGACTGGGTTATAGATCTGACTGAGGAATTGGAACATTTTGTGAATACATGGCTTAGTGTTAACAGGAAAATAAAGGATTTTTTTTCTACTCATTCTATCCTCCCTGTAGTGTGTTTTGAAATTGATCATAAAAGAAAACAATCTCGGAAAGTGTGAGTTTGTAGTCTTGCTTCTGTGTTCAGTCTGGCACCTCACTAACCCCTGCTCACTGTGAAGCTGACTGGTTACAGTAGCTAAGATCTCAGCGAATCGGCTTGTGTCCTCATGCTGTTTGCATAATCTCAGTAAACGCACACAGACGTGAGTAGTCTTTTAAGAAGTAGCTGGATCCAGAGTGGTGGGGCAGGTTTTTAATCCTAGCACTTGGGTGGGTCTCTGAGCTTAAGGTCAGCCTGGGCTACATGAGGGGTCCTGTCTCAAAAGTACAGGGCCGGGGGTCTGGGGAGGTGGCTCAGCCACTAAGAGCACGGGGCAGCTTGCAACTATCTGTAATTCCAGTTCCAGGGGATCCAACACCCTTACACAGATACAGATGTAGGCAAACAACAATGTAAATAAATCAATCACCTAAAAAATATACAGGGCTGGTAGGGTAGCTGAGCTGGTCAGAGTGGTTGCCTCGTGGCCTCTTTCGCTCCCAGAACCCGCGTGTATGGAGGACGATCCTGCACACTGTCCTCTGAGCTCCATGCATGCCATGGTATGCATACACCGATACCCACACATAAAACACAGTTTTTAAAAATTAGAAAATGATTAATGAGGCTAAGTAAATGTCAGAAATAAAGTAATAACGGAGGGGAGGCTGGTGAAATGTCTCGGTGAAATCAGGCAGCATCCTTCGGCGTGGCCACGCCACTGTATGCTGAGAATCCCCCACCCCTTCGGCTGTCCCCTTTTATCTTGATGTGCCTGGGTATTTTGTGTCCATGTGTCTGTGTGCTATGTGCATGCCCTGCCTGGACGGCCTGAAGAGGGTGCCCCATCCCTTGGCCTGGAGTTAGGGGTGTGTTATAAACTGTATGGGGTGTGAACACAACCTGACCCTCTGGGAGAGCAGCGAGCTCCTTAACAGCTGAGCCATCTCTTTGGCTCTTCTCTTCAAGATCTTCATTTCAGGTTTGTCCCCCCTTAGATTTTTTTTTTTAAATGAGCATTGGGGTTTTGCTTGCATGTCCCCTGAAACTGGAGTTACAATTATGAACTGAATCACTAAACCATCTCTCCAGCCCCCATTTCATCTCATTTTTTTTTTACAAAGATGCCAGAAATGGGAATGTTGAATCCTGTGGTGCTTCTATTTTTATTTATTTTTTGGTAGTTTTTCAAGACAAGAGTTTCTCTGTGTAACCTAGGCTGTCCTGTAACCCACTTTGTAAACCACGCTGGCTTGAACTCAGATCTGTCAGCCTTCCGTCTCCCGAGTGCTGGGATCCCACCGCACCCAGCTCTATTTTTAGTTTTTAGGGATCTCCATGCTATTCTTACAGACACTACTGCTTTGTGCAGCCCCACCAACCAGGCAGAGGCTCCCCTGTCCCCACATCATCTCCGTCTGTGGAGAGCAGCCACCCCAGAAGGTGTGAAGGTGCATTTTCCTCAACAATTCTTTACGTACCTGTTGGTTTTTTCTATGTTGTCTTTGGGTAAATGTCTATTCAACATCATAGCTCATTTTAAAGAAAACAACCATTGGATTTTAGATATTATCTATTTTGGAGATTAAATTTTTTTCAGATGTGTATTTGCAAACATTTTTTGCCATTCTGTGGGTTGTCTTTTTATCCTCCTCTGCTGTACAGAAAGAAGACTTTCTTTAAAATATAAAAGAAGTGGCCGAGTGGTGGTGGCGGATAGCCAGAGTTACACAGAGAAACCCTGTCTCATCCCCCTCCCTCCAAAAAAAAGTTTTTTTTGTGGGGCTAGAAAACTGACTCGGGGATTAAGAACACTGGCTGCTCTTCCAGAGGACCTGGGTTTGATTCCCAGCACCCACATGATGACTCATAACTGTCCATAACTGCAGTCCCGGGGACCCAGCACCCTCTTCTGGACTTTGTGGGCACCAGGCATACACGTGGTGCAGACATACATGCCAACAAAACACTCAAATACACGCAAAATAAGAAATCTTTGAACAAAAAGTACTGGTTTGTATGTGTGAATGGGGGCGTGCCACTGTGCCTGTGTGCAACTCAGAACTTTTGGGAGTGGTTCTACCGTGAGAGTCCGAGGTTAGAACTCGAACTCAGGGCACCAGGCTTGGCAACACACACTGTTACTGACAGAATCCCCAGATTTGCCTATTTCGGAGGAATTGAACCTAAAATAGAAGTTAGTACTGGAAGTGGTGGCTCATGCCTGTAGTCCAGCGGCTGGGGAGTCTGAGACCTCACCTTGTCTAACAAAACAAAACTGGGCGGTGGTGGTGCACGACTTGAATCCCAGCACTCGGGAGGCAGAGGCAGTATCTCGGTGAGTTCAGGCCAGCCTGGTCTGCAGAGTGAGTTCCAGGACAGGCTCCAAAAGCTACAGAGAAACCCTGTCTCAAAAAAAAAAAAAAAAGTCACCAGAAATCCTAAGGGGAGGCTAAAAAAACTCTGCGTGTGTTTGTCTCTGTGAATTTTTCCTTTTGTTTTTTTGAGACAGGGTTTCTCTGTGTCATTCTGACTGTTCTGAAATTTGCTCTGTAGACCAGGCTGGTCTCAAATTCACAGAGGTCAGCCTGCCTCTGCCTCCCGAGTGCTGGGATTAAGGGTGTGCACCACCACCTCCTGGCTCTCTTCATTTTTATCTTATTTCTTTGAGATGGTGTCTAATGTTGCCCTAGATGATGATGTCTTTGCCCCATTGATCCTTGTAATCCACCTCCTGGATGCTGAGATCGCTCTCACTTCCCAATTTACATGGTGCTGGAATTGAATCTAGGTTTCTGTGCGTGCTAGGCAAACCTGCCATCTACAGAGCTACATCCTCAGCCCCTTCAGCCTCTCTCTTGTTAGGGTCCGAGAGAAGCTCCCAAAGAAAGACCAACAGCCCCGTATGCAATAACAAGAGCGCTATATTAATTCCAACATTGGGGTGGCACTTGACAACCCCCCAAGATGGCCACAAGCTCCTTTTAAGCGGAGTTAGGGGAATTCCAGGGAGGAGGAATTAGTCTGGGGACTGATGGGTGGGAGGGCCTAGTGGTTAGGGGACCTTCCAGCAGCCGGGCAGGGAAAGATTTCTGTAGTTACCAGGAGACTGTGGCCGTCTGCTGAGCCAGCAGAAGGACCGGGAGGCTTGACTGGTTGCCCCTGAGTGTGTGGTTTTCTCCGAGAACGGTTTGCTCAGCTCCAGGCTTCTCCAATGAACTGAACCCTAGGCCTGGTCCCTGGCAGGGGCTATTACAAGCCTGTCCTGACTCTGGTCTCCATCCGGGTTACTAGGAGAAGCCTGTCAAGGCTCTGGGTTGCCCCACTTCCCCACCATCTCACTTCTCATCTTTGTGAAAATTGTTTTATCTATTTACTTGCTGATTATTTGAGACAGGGCCTCACTGTGTTTGTTCCCCTGGCCGGACTGGAACTCGCTGTGTAGACCAAGTTGCCCTGCATGCATACGTAGCGCATGCGTACGTAGCAGCGCTAAATCTGCTGGTCCCTGAAAGGCAGGGGCATGAGCTCAGTGAGGGCTCCACTCTGAGAAAGCGGAGCCCAGCCTCACCTCTCTCAGGAATGCCAAGGCGAATCTCAGATCTTAAACAGCCCCAGCCAATCTGGCAGCAGGAAATAACACGATCTCTAGTTGCTCCCCGTGTATCCCTTGAGGCCGAAGTGTAACATTCCCTCGCTATCTGAGTCGGGAGTTTGGCGGCGGTTGGTCCCGCAGAGAGAAGTACGCTAGCCAGGGTGTCCGGGACTTGCAAAACTCCCAAGTTACTTCCAGGGCCTGTCTGAATCATATTCTGTGATTTTGGCTTATCATAAACAGCTCCATTCTCTCGCTTAGAATTCTAAATGAAAAATAGGCCAGTCCTCCGTTGGCTATAGTCCCATCTGCCTTTAGCTCAACTAGCTAGTTTCTCAGTGTGCCAAAGGCTTCACAATGTAGCCATTCTTCCCCGAGCTTCCTACACCCGCAAGCCCGAACTGGGTGATTCCTTAAGTTGGATCCAAATGTGCGTCTGAGTCAGAGCTGGGCATGGAAGTTGTTCATCGCTTGGCCTTCTGTGTATGCCTAAAGTGATTTCAGATGAAGAAGACGGAGCCTCAGTTCACTGCGCAAAAGAAATCCAGTCTGCAGTGGTCCAGATCCGACCGAGGGAATGAATCAACCATTGTAGATTCGGTGTGGGAGCGTTGTATCCTCCAAATGATTTCTCACGGGGAAGCTTTTCCTTGGTAAGAACATATTTGCATACACTGGGATAGGTGAGCAGTTTAAATACTAGATTTATGGGGCTGCAAAGATGGCTCAGCGGTTAAGAGCATTGCCTGCTCTTCCAAAGGTCCTGAGTTCAATTCCCAGCCACCACGTGGTGGCTCACAACCATCTGTAATGAGGTCTGGTGTGCAGACAGAATATTGTATACATAATAAGTAAAAAAAAAAAAAAACCCTAGATTTATGACTTCAGAACCGAGTCTGAGACGTTTCAGATAACAGCTATGCAGATGACCCAGCAATCCTGAAGCGACAGCCGAGGCTATAGATAGAATATGGTGTCTGTGACTTCTCGGAGTCGGGTGTGACGGTGAGCGCCTGTCATCCTAGCCTTTGAGAACACAGGCAAAAGGCTCTCAAAGTCAACGAGACCCTTTCTTTAAAAAAAAAACAAACCAATGACTTAGTGGCTAAAGGCGCCCGTGGCCAAGCCTGCTGACTCTGAGTTCAGTCTCTAAGATCCCTATGATGGGAGGAGAGAACTAACTCCAGTGGCTTGTCTTCTGACTGCCACGCACACGCATGTGCTCACGCACGCACGCACGCATGCGTATACATGTCCACAAAAGAAGTAAAATGATGGAAAAACAGGAAGGAAGGGGCTAGAGAAACGGCTCAAGCCATTAGAGGCCTCGCCAGTCGCCAGGCTACGCAGGTGTAAGGGC